GGGGAATATCTCACCCGTTAGGGCACTACCTAAGCTGCCGGTTGGGCAGTGGCTTAGTTAGGGACCCAAAAGTACTTTCCACGTAGAATCCCCATAGGTCCAGACTTGCCTGGACGCTGCCTTTAAGTCCGATCGCACATTATTCGTAGCAGTGAAAAGATATCAAAATCTAACTCGAACTCAGGAGCGGACGAAACAGCGCCTCAAGTATGGTAAAAGTAATTTTTGAACTTCGTGTATCTCGACCAATAAATCGCACGAGCTTAGCTAACGGCTCACATAAGCCACCTTAAACAGTTTCCGTTCAAGAAACCAGAACACCAATTTTGCCGGACCTATCTTCACAATTTCAGTGGGTAACAATCAGATTCTTTTGTAAAGGGAAATCATTGCACTCACCTTGTCACAAGTCAGAGCGGTCAGTCTTGTTCCAGCAGGGTAAAAGCCGCAGGTGCATGTGCATTCACAAAATGAAGGAGGTCTATAAAGCAACACTTCATTCTTAGCTTGCGGCACAGTGGATGGGACGAAGAAAGAAGAGATCTGAGAAATTGGGTGAGTTCTGCAGTTTTGAAAATTTCATTATACATCCTGGGCCTCCCTTCGTACTACACATCCCGGAGAGGGCCTAGAAATAAAAATCATGGGAAGAGACGAAACGGAAAAATATCAGGATTTTATATTTCGAGTCTTTGGTCTCTTACGGAATCTAATCTACTACAAATCGAAAGTACGTCGTTCCAACAAATGAAATGAAGTGTTATGGCCAATTTTCCGCAGCTAGTCTTGGATCAAGTTATATCCCTAAAGTATTCTCGATTACTTACATACTAGTAAAGTCAATCAGGTGGTTTTCATAATTTGTTCTGCAAATGACGAAAGTCTCTTTACGGTCAATAAAATATAATTTCAGTTGTTTGTGTCGAATTATCAATTAGGGTCTTCTGGCACTTGAGAAGAAAAACAATATTGGACAGGAAATTTTATGATGGGTGCCATTTTTCAATTAGTTCATGCCTTAAAGGCAGTGTCCGGGCAAAAACTCGATCTTGAGATTTTTTGCTTACCCGGGCTTATTCGCTACGCTGAATCCGAAAATGCGCATTGGAGAGCGCGAAAACGGCGAAAAAGGGCTCCAACGCAGGAGGGAAATCAGAAGTGGGCGGAGTCTTCCCCAATGTGAATTTCGCAGTCCCGGCTTCCAGAGCGATCTTCTCGGTTCCGATTTCAAATCATACATTCGCACCTGGCCGGTGGAGATCTCAGAGCGCTAGAGGAATTGGGAAGATCGCTCCAGAAGCTGGGACTGCGAAAATTCACAGTGGGGAGGGCCCCGCCCACTTCCGATTTCCCTCCTGCGTTAGAGCCCTTTTTTGCCGTTTTTGCGCTTTCCAATGTGGATTTTCGGATTCAGCATAGTGAATAGGCCCAGGTAAGCACAAAATCTCAAAATCGACTTTTTGCCCGGACACTGCCTTTAAGAATAAATCACATCCAATATTTCCCATACATCAACTGTTACGAATAAACTAGTCACTTGATTGAGCATCGATAATTCAAGGAAATTTCCAGTACTTTTAAAACGAATTTTTGTCTTGTTCAAACCTTCTTGATTTCCTGATCAGTTCCTTCAAGTAAGCTTTCGGCACCCTGACCTCTTCATCTGAGTTCTCCTGCAAATAAAACCTTCAATCATAGTGTTGTACAGCATCCATTACAACTTTTCTAAAATAACTTTGAAAACCACCTCTTCATTGTCACGCGTACGTCTGCGCTTACTATGCGTCCTAGGCCTTTGATCTTGCAACCACGTTCTATTCATTCCAACCTGAAACTTATCCCAATTCAATATTTATAAAAAACTCGAGATGATAAAATCTACCGCAAAGCATTTTCGAAGCCTGCATGCTTGGCAGAATCGGCGAGACGCAGAAGTGATACCACAGTTGTTTGAGAATGGGCATCTTATCTCCTGAACAATAGCTGAATAGTAGAGGATTTTATAATTTCTTCATCTATGATTGTCAGCTCACCTCTTCTCTTACAGCGTTCCGGCGAAAGAACGCTTTGCAGGATTCGCAAGTCAAAACCCCGAAATTGTATCCATTAGCACGATCACCGCAAACCTAGATCAAAAAAATTCAAAATACGTGAATTACTTCGCTTTAGGACTTCTCGCGCACAGGGCTCGGCACGAGCTGGCACCAGGGAAATTTCAAAACGAAGTCCCGTTTGATACTGAAAATTTCGTACGAAGTCCCTTTTGACCTGTTTTGAAATCCCGTCATCATTTTTATATTATGTAAAAAAATGTAGTAGTGTTTTCATGCATTTCTGATTTCATGAAAGAACTTTTCACAGCTTTCTGAGCTTTTTAAGTGGTCGAATCACACCTTGAGAAGCAGAAAAAGCCGATTTTTCGACTGCGGAGCGGGTCAAGTGGTTTTCAAATTGCTATAAAACGCTGAAAAGAGAACATTATGAAACTGTTTCTTCTCCGTATGTAATCTTTTACAGTGTAGATACATTTTATGTAAAAAAGTATGAGAACTTATGTGAGCAAAGTGTCGGTGCCAGCTCAGCTGGCACCCAGCTGGCACGGTGCCAGCTAATTCAGAAAAAAGTTCGGCACAGCTTTCATTCACATAAGTTTTCATAAATTTTTGGGCTATAGTTCCGGTCCAGCAACGCGCATGCACACACCAAATTTGGTGTCATACTATTGTGTTTTGGCTGAAAACAACGCCTTTGTTTGCTGGTGGACAGCTTGCCAATGGCATGCCGGTGGCATGCCGGCGGCATTTTTGCGGCAGTTCTCCGCCTCGGCCCCTGTAGAAACGATATCCCCTTTGCTTTCCGCCCTAAAAACGATGTCCAGCTTGACCCGGTGCCAGCTGTGCTGAGCCCTGCTCGCGCATTTCGATTTCATGCAGCACTAAATGTTACTTCCGCCCATAATAGGGGTAACAATGAATTCTTTTTCGAGGCAATATTTAGAAAAACCTGGTTACTCAGACTCAGACGGTACTTTTCCTAAACGACCAATGAGCATCTTCATATACGGAAAAAACGTCTGGGCTGGAGTAGAATTGATTGACCATGAATCAATCAGATGAGGTGCAGCTTGGGCAGTAGCTTGGTCGAAAATTCTCAGTTGGGTTTTTCTACAAGACAGGGGTTCCAAAATGCCCAGAGACTGTCTTTGAATAAAGTTTATCGAAAAAGACGGGAATAAGCTTACCTTGCATGACCTCTCTGCATCTTCAACGAACTGCTCCGGTGCTCGCCTTACACCGGCATCATCCTCCGAAAATGATGCAGGTGAAAGTTCGGACATGTGCTGAGCTTGGGTTAATTTATACAAGTCCCAAACTCAAACCTCAAACAGCTGCCCAGAAGCCGAAGATCAAAAATCTGTTAAAAACTTCGGATGCCTTTCAATAATGACCGTTTGCATACAAAGAGGATATTTGCCACTGCATGCGAGTTGAAACCAATATTCAAGAATATAATGTGTTATATCTTTTTCTGCTAAACAGTAGTCTTTATCGAAACTATAGCCTGTTTGCTTTTATGATGGAACATTACTATTATCAAATTTTGCAGTTTAGAAGTCTCGTGCACAAACCGAGAACCGAGATGGCTTTTACTTCACTTGCAGTTCAGCAAAGCTAGAACCTGATTCAGTCTGCGTTCTTGCGGGTAAAACTTTAGTCAACTATTGAAAATCTCAATTCCGCTCTTCTTGAAGTATTTAGTTATATAGTACTCACCACCTTGCAAAGTGAAAGCGGACCTCAGTGAGCGCAACCAAAAAATATAATAATGAAATTTTTGCTTTGCAAGTCAGAAGTATAGAGTTTGTTTGGCTCCACAAACTTTGTATATCCGTGACATTTATCTACATGCAAAACAGAGTGATCTATTGCTTGCGATTACAGTCATTATTTGAAAAGGGCTGTTTGCTAGTCAGTAGGATGATGTTACATTCTATCGTGATTCTACCATTCAACCTACATTATAACAGTTCCCTCTAACAATGAGCTGAAAAGCAAACTGCCAGCAGCTTCGGCAGCATCAAATGATTTCTCAAAGATTGTAGAGTCTAATTCTGAATTCTTTCGCTGAATTCTCAAGTAATCTTGTGTACATAATGGTCGAACACACCTTTCCCAGAAAGCGAGTAGCTATCAATACTTGCAAGAAATTGTCCACCCCGATTATGACAAAGAATAAAATATGGCACATGGAGAAGATAAGCAAGAAATAATGGAAAAGAGAGATCAACTGAAGTCAACGAGGAATGCTCTCTTCATTGAGCAAGCGGTTTTCCAAAAATGGAACTGAACTTGATCCGAGGATTTTGAAGTTGTACAGCAGTAAGTTAACAGAGTAAACGCAAACAAGCAAATTTTCTATTCTGAGTGAGATGAGAGCAAGTGGATGAAGAGAGAATTCCTACTATGCAACAGGCTCATGCATCAAGCAACGACGTTATATGTAAAGTCTGAGCATTCAGTATGCTTCGAATGCAGCAGAAGGAGGAAATGAAATGGTGAAGCAGCATTTGTTGCCAGAAGTCTGATCAAAGTACTTTCATCTAAATCGGATGTAAGAGACCGCGTTCAGAACCTAAAGTTAGAGTATAGCTTCCAGCGCTCAATGACTAGGTTATACATATTTTGAAAACTGTCAGAGATTTAAAATTGCTTCAAAGGAATCGGTACACTGCCACATCTCTCGCAAATCATGTCGAGCAAAAAAAAGGAAGAAATAATAGCCATTTTGTGATCCAACTAGCTCCTTCAAGTCTGCTATCGGGTCTTCCGAGGTAGGAAAAATCGATGAGGAAACTGTTATCTAGTAGCAGACTTTGCTTTGATAAGGGGGTGTCATGTATGAAGGTCATCACAATTTCATGTGATCTTACTGGCTCTTGCAGGGCTTTTTTGTTTTAATTTCAGTGATATTTTGTGAAACCTTCCCCTCAAAGAACACTTTACACAAGTTTACTAACTTTGACTGACAGAAATTAATCACACTCTTTATCCTAAAACAAATCAATAAGGTGCAAAATAGAATTACATTTCAGATATAATTGTAAGCGATATCAGCTTCACTCTCAACAAAGGCAAATTCTAATTTCACAGGCTGCTTCAGGAGGATCGACAAAAATTCCTCCGTGAAGCCAAACATCCAGTATATTCGTCGGATATCTAAACGCCTCGAATATTGCAAGAAGCCAGCGACGATGACTACGTTACCCCTCCTCTTGATTACGATCTAAAAAGCGCTGTAACAACACGAATCAGACAGCAGAATGCCAGTAACAAACCTCTTCTCCACTTATGACCACATGCTGAGGAAAAAAACCACGAATAAACCGACGGATCACTTCATCATGTACTACCATCAACGGTTGCGATTGTCGAAAACCTGCAAGATTATAAAGAGAGTAATTTAACTGATATCAACACCAAACTTTGTGTAAGAGATCAACACTGACACGACAACAACAACATGATCAACACTGAGATGTGCAAGAGAGCTACATCTATATAGCTCTTTTTAGTGCAAGAGAGCAACACCACCTCAATTTAGTGACCTACAACACAGGGTATAATCATATAGGCGACTCAAAAATGCCTATAGGCGTCTTTAAGTCCTTCAGCTCTGATAAACAGTAAAAAATGAATCTTTAGTAAAAGCGGATTAAATTGATTATTATTTATTACCGATAGTTCTGATCAGTGTAAGGAAAGAGTATTTTCTGTCAAAGTGGCCCGAGTGGGATACATAAATCTATAGCTTATTAAATTAGTTACAAATTTGTCTTCGCTATCTGCCATGCGCTATTTTACGCCAAGCTGAGTGGCTTTAGGTCAAAAAATTTGACACGCGTTGAAGCAGCTTACTAGTCGCTCAAGAAGGTCATATTGCATATGAAGACACTGTATATCAGTGTTTAACATTCTTCAGTATAGCATAAAATTTGACAATGCCTTTTTAACCAAAACTTTCCGTGTCAGCCATTCAGAGAAGATGCTTCTATATCACTGCAAGGTAAAGCCAGAAGTTCGCGCCAGAAATAGATAAGCAAAAAACGCTAATAGCAACTCCTGACTTATGACCCATCACCATTGAAATTTGAGAGGATCACACACAATTATAGAGATATTTTCTTTTTTGGGCCCTTTCAAGGAAGGAGAACGGTAAGACTCAGAAGTCGCTATATCATACTCTCACCTTCTAAATTCTGAGAATGCCAAGTAAGCCAAGATTTTCTCACGCCGATGTGATGTGGTTTCTGTGCCATTTCGTATGTCAGCAATTGTGAACGATTAACAGTAGACTGTAAGCGGATTATTTAGAAATGTGAAAGATTGCATACTTTTAAGCGCTATGGCATTTGCTTTCGAGGCGCCGATTTATCCGGTTAGCCGCTTCCTGATTGGTCAGTTCACTATTTGACCAATCATGAAGCGATGAGCGTCCAACCGAATAAGTATGGCGTCCGCCTGTGAGACAGCAAAAGCGTATGAAGAATTATAATTAAAATGTTAAACTACTGAAAATCTTACCCTGTATTTACCAGCCTGGTTTTTATTCAAACATGCAGTAGTCGAGATTCCTCTAGCCAGAGTAGTCGATGCTGAGGGCCGCACCAACAGCGCCGGTGCGAACATTGCGCTAGAAGCTTTTTAGTCTAAAAGGTCATGAATAAGTTGCCGTCACGGCAGTATTCTCTATCATAACGAGATAAAATCAAAGAACTTCCACACAAAACCCCTTCACGATTAAGTTATAATCCATGTCTCCGCGCCTGTAGGAGACGCACATACTCGAACCATGAACGAAGATGTAGAGACTAGCACTTTCATTTGGATATATGGTGCATCTCCCAAAATTGTGCTGATGTGTTAAAACGATCGGGAGGGGGTATATATAGAAAGGCGCGCGTTTTGGCAATCACTAAAAGGAAATCGTAATCTACAAAAGCGAGGGTTTCCAAACTCCGAAAGTTTGGTAACTATATTAGAGAGTGTAACGAAGGATCATTATTTGGAATCCGGAAGTAGCAAAGTGAATTCAAATCTTTTCCTGATTTTCTAGACAGTGACAGTCGCAGACTTTTCGACCGCCTCCCATCGGAAGGCAGGCACATTGATGATTTATATGGGAAGAACTCTGGGAGACGCACGATATCCATAATGCAAACAATGGCTGATGAGAAAGCTCAATGGAAGTCAAAGCTTCGCGAGTAAACTGTAGCGGCCATTTATAAGCCGTTATATGAGTTTGCATTCGATGCGCGGCAATATTGAAACTGTGACACTGAAACTGTTGTTGGTGTTTAGTCACCCTTGCTTTTTCCCGCGATGGTCATTTAGAGATGAAAACAAAAAGATATTTCCGGAAATTCGCATGGTTTAGGAGCTCGAGTCGTGGGATGCCTCGTAGAGGGTGCCGTACACAATTCAGCTACAGAAAACGTGAGTGACAATAATTCCATCTCTTCTGGTTTTCTCTTTCCTTTTAGCAGCTTAATAATATATGAAGTAAGCACTGGAAAAGGTTATCCAGAGTACCATAAGTTGCTCAAATGAGATCCGAAACCTACATACAGATGAAATAGTATCTACTTCTTGAAGAAGAAATGGCGAGAATCCGTCATAAACTAGAAAGCATCCTTACGATATCCGTTTAGAAGTCTGCAGGGGGATGCCCAGAAGAGACTCAAGGCTAAAATAGATCTCATACACCAAATCCCACCAATGTAGTTTCGAGAAACTCCTAAGCTTTACAAAAAGCAAAGTCTGAACGTCCTAAACCGCTATTTTCAACTCGCGTTTCTTGTATCAGCAACTGTGGCCAGTTGACTTATAAACTGCGCTGATAGCAAAGATGTTTTACAACTGAATTTACCGCATGTTGAAATCAAGATGTGGTAAAGCTACTGCATCAATCCAAACCAATTCCTACCTTAACCTTACCGAAGAACTCTATTAGACCCTAGCCTTACACTGTGCACCCGCAATGAATAGCAGAAACAGCCTTTAACTTAAAGATGCAGTGTATGTAAAGCATTTTAAGCCCCGTTGTGGCAAATATTGCAGGCAATCCTTATTCCGAAGACTATTGAGACATCCCTAGACTTGACAACTTTGATTAGATATTTGGCACGTTTATTTCATAATCACGGTATATCACTGACGAACATAGGGTATCACAAGAGTACTTCGCATGAATAAGCAGATTTGATATTCTTGTTAACAAAACATCAGATTCACTGGGAGACATATTGAAAACATCCTCGTTAGTGGCGTTCGACAAATTCAACTGTTTCATCCCTGGGATGGTCTACAGCCCATTTCACATGCAGCTCGCTGGCTTTCCCTCCTGGTACCGAAATCGTCCACTCCAGATTGCTTCCATTCATTTTTGGTCCCTCTTTGGGTAACTCTGCTGCCGCTGTCAGATCTGACAAAAGATGAATATGACTCATGCACAAGCAATTCACTGAGGTCTACATTTGTTTGCGCAAATCCAACAAGAGCATGCATCCTTCATTTTCAATTATCTACCAAAGCTATTAGAGTTGCCTATAGACTTCTTCCATAAATTTCACATCATCAAGATTCTAATATTCGGTAAAAATATGATGATTCTCACCGACTTTAGGATATAAAAATTACGGCGGATCTAGTTCGTAGTTGAAATCAGCTTACCTGGATTGGTGGTTTCCTCAGATTGAGGAACTGCAGGAGCAATCATCCGGACCTGAAGACAAAAAGATCGAAGACCATCAAAAGCAGCCATCCGCGACGATCCCCTTCTTTCATACAAAGCTCAACCGATACTTGGCTTACTTAGATTCATATCAAGAATAGAAATCAAAGGCGGGTGCAGCACGATGCTTTCGTTTATACATGCTAGCCTTCTCACCTTGATCTTCTCATCAGTACTGCGAGGGATCTGCTGCTTGATTGTGATAAGCACTGCGTCGTTACGTGAATTTTTCACGACAATGACCTGCTCATGCACCGTTGAAGAAGTCTTGTTAATGAGTCCAACCTAAGCACAAGATATTAGGATGAGATATTTGGATATTTCTTTTGCGAGAAGCAAAAAAATATTGATGGCTTCTCAAAATTGCCAATAGCAGCCACCCGTCAAAAAACAAACGAATTTGTATCAAGACTCAACGTAGTTGGGACTAATGAAATTTTGTTGATATTGTTGTCCGCCAAATAAGCAGATTACCTCATGTAACCATTGTAGCCCCATGTAGCCTACCTGCTCATGGTACTTTTTGACTGGTTTGTACTCAATCCGAAGAGCTGTATCAACTCCAAGTGAGCATGAGAATCTCTCTCCAGGAGAGACGCTTTTCAGTGAAGTCTGAAACACCACTACATTCATATATTCAACGATACTAACTGGCGCTTTCTTCCATACCTTTGATACGAAGCTGTTATTCAAGTAAACCGCCGCCTCACCAGGCAGGAAAGGAAGCTGTGAAGTGTTGACTGCGGATGCAGTTAGAAAAGCGCTCGTATTCTTCGATGGAACGCATTGATGAACCAGTTGTGGAGACACATCAATGATTCCAATAGTCACCTGAGCAAGCACTTACAGAGGTAGGGATATACACCTTGCAAGCCATATGCAACTGCTTTTTGAATTGCACAACGAGATATGTATAACATGTGGGTTATAGGCGGGCCTCATGGACAAGCCAACCTCGCAAGGTCCACTCAGTCTCACTCAGTCTTCTTCTTCAGCTAATACGTGCACTTGTGTAACGGATATTGAGATAAACAATTATTGAACCATTAACCACCACACAAGGAAGACAAATTCTCAAGTCGCACAAATACAAGAAATCTCACCTTATGCTCCGCTCCATCGGAGGGGATAGCAGCTGGTCTAGCTATCACAAACTCTGTGCTCAAAGCATGCTCTTCAGCCGGCGCTACCATTGCCAACTAAAAGTTATACAATAACAACAGTAACAAAAAATATAACAAAACTCACACTAGGGGCCATAGGCGCATACATTGGAGCTGCATCCATCTCAGCGTTGCTTCGCAAAGAAGCTGTACCTGCTGCCGAACTGCTGGAATCAAACGTGCTGAACAGAATGAATAGTCTGGGACTTCAACATACAATATTGAGGCAGATTTCATCATCCTCATATGTTGTGGGGGCGGAGGAGGAGGAGGAGGGCGATAGAGGATAGCCTCAAGTACCCCCAACTCCGGAATATGTCCTCCTAGGCTCGGCTGAGCTGTAGAAAGCACCTAAAAATTGACAACAAAACATAGCCGGTAGGCAGCACCAATTTTGTGAACAACAGAGGTTGTAAGAAGGAGAAAGATTGGAATAAAACACAGTGAAACGAAGAATTTCAACATCTGCATGAATTATAGGTATAGGCGATTCGTAGCACGCAAAGACTGCGTACAAATCGGTGTCTCACTGATCAGCGCTCTTTCGTTGCTCTTACCATCTGCTGTCTCTCCCATGCACAAACTATGTTGGCTGGACGCAATGGCGCCCAGTCTTTGCGTGTCATGAATCGTGTATACCTATCAACCTTTCGTGATAATCAAAATCCGGAAGATGATAACCCACTTACCGAGGTACACCCACGTTGGAAGAGAGCTCATCAGCTCATGTGAAAGTAAGGAGAAAGACGATAACTGCTCCGTCTATCTTCAAGACCAGTAAGACAAGAAAGCAACATACCAAAGATGCGTTTGACCAATCTTCTGTGGTTGACTGAGAGATGTTGCCGAAGTAAGTAATCTAGAGAGCTGATAACTGGTTAAGTGATATCAAAAAGATATTCTGCGGTACCTTGAGCGACGATTGCTTTCCACCAGTTTCCACACGGATATCGTAAGAAGGACGCCAGCTGGCACCATGCACTTGGTAGGTGACCTCCAGTTTTACATGGCCACCTTTCTCACTTTCAAGGGTAACAACAATTGACCTGAATTTCGACATACATGATAAGTTATAGAAGTAACCTCGACGAAATGTTCCACTCACTTGCTGTAATAATGCACCGAACAAGCAGCTTCCGCATTTCGCAGCTCGGCTTCTAGAGCTGACAGTTCCCTTTCTGCCTTCTCCAAACTCTTGTTCACATTGCGCTGTTCTGCAAGGACAGATTCAATAGAGAAAGTGTACATAAAGAAAGAAGCTAACCGCTGCGGACAGCCATTGAGCTCTCGTCATAGAAGGAATAAAATTTGGTTAGATTTTCCAAAGTTTCGGCGTTAAGCGCAAACGACTCCTTAGCTTCCTTCGGAGGCTTCACTACGCTTTCGCCAACCTGGAACGGTAAATTCAAGTCAGACTTTCGCAGCTAGAGTATAAATAGAAAGTAAGTAATTCAAGAACACAAAAAAGTACCAGCAAACGACATGTCTAACCTCTCCAACGATCTTGTCCAACACTTCCACCCTCCTTTGCAAGACGCTCTGACGATCTTTGAGTGCGTTCACTTCTTGCGATTTCTCTTCTACCTTCGCTCGCAGCGCAGCAACCTGAGATACTCAATATGTGGACCGTTTGCCTTTGCTGAAGTTCTCTGATACCTTTGGAGAGTCCGTCTCTTCCTGAACAGCAGGTCTGTCGCGAAGTTGAACTTCATGAATGACGCCATCACCAAGTCCGTCCACTCGAACAGAGTCGTAAATGATATGCTGCGTAACATTCTGAAAAGGACTGCGGTTGAATGAATAAAAAACTAGACAAAGATGGAGAGCGCTCAACCACGTTCTGCTCTGCCAAAATAATGAGATTACCTTATTGAACCCAAACTACAGGGGACTAAAAATCAATTTTCTAGTTACTAACAATAGTCACTCAGCAAGCAGTCAAAGGATTATCCGATGCCAAGATTTACAACTGAGCTTGGGATTTCAACATGCAACCAACTCTGACATGCTTTATTCATGAAAACATGAAGAGAAGGATAAGGCTTACGAAGGCTTTTTCCAATGACGGAAAACGCGCTTCAGGGCCATTTCAATATAGATTGTGCAATCGCACCATGTGGCTGAGATTCACGGCTCAAAAGCGGGGGCACGCGGAAGGCAACAATCGGCGAAAAGTGGAGGCTGTGTATCATCCGTCTCAATGACTTTCACGGATTTCTACTTGTGGCATTGAGTAATGTATCCGCCCCCACCCCCGTAGTCCCCCGGGGTGTCACTTTGACACCGGAGAGTTTTTGATAGGCACAAAATTGAGGATTGTCGCCTTCCGCACCACACCCCTCAAAAGCCGGCGATACCCACAGCTCTTCTATGGGAATAGGCAAAGGCAGCCACATTGATGGTTTATACGAGAACAGTTCTGGGGGACGCACGATAGAATTCGCGCTCTCGCAAGATTATAGCCCCGCGCCAGAGTCACCGTAGACACGGGGCTCCATGTCAGGAGTCGCCGCGCGCCGCGCCGCTTCGCCGCGAACGTCGCGTCTAAATTCTGTATCCCATAAAACTGCCCGGTGCTAAAGTGGCACGGCGCCAGTCTAGGGGGGTGGGGGGGGGGTGGGGGCAGATACATGGTCGTGTCATAAGTAAGACTGCGCCAGGAGTGCTGGCTTCTGTTTTGCTGACATCGCTTGCGGCATCGCTTCGCGAAAAATTCGCGCCGACCGTGACTCCTGACCGTTCCCCGACACGGCCAGTCCGTGCGTTAGGTGAATGAAGGATATCTATTGTGGGAGCGATAAACTTCGCCAATCTACTGAACACATTCTCACGCCAAAGTGTGAGTAAAAAAGCTATATGTAACTTAATAGCTAGATGTATAGCTATTTTGTGGATTACAGAAGATGAAGTTGTCAAGCGTAATCTCGCAAGAAAAGTTATAGCAAAACGATGGAAGCAGTCAAACCACTAATTTTTATAAATACACTTTTCTCCCTTCCTTACAGAAAATGCCGGGTTCCAATCCGTATTATGACAAGAGAAGCTATTATAAAAGGACCAATATTCTTGCGCTTAGAATGTCAGCTAACGCTTTAGATAAAGCAAACAAAGACACAAAACTCCGAGTTCTTACGCTAGACTTCCGTAGGAGTTGATTCCATTTGCATAGGTCTGCTGGTCCTTGCGGTTTTATAGACTTTTGGTACTTAGGCAGTGTCCAAGCAGGTCTGCAAGCACCTAATTTCGATGCATTCGCGAAGAGGACTCCCCATGCAAAATGTAGCCCCACTGCGAGCGCAAAATACTGCTTCTCGAGCGAGGCATGGTATGGTGAGCCCTCTTCGGTAATGCGTTGAAATTAGGTGCTTCCAGGCTGCTCGATCCCTCTTGCGTATAGCCCCGAAGAGAGATACTGAGTCAACCCTGGTTGAATGAACTCAGAATTCTTTACACTCCGTTCCGCTTACGGTGGTTTGAAGTGGGAGAAAGAAAAACCCGGTCAATGATGATCTGTATACCTAATTTGGACCCCTATTAGATGTGTCACTTCCAAAGCCGTTAGTAGGTTGCTAATATGCTATGTATTTGAACGCTTACAACGTGAATAATACCTCAATATTGAATTAGCCCATATCATGGTCTACGCACCCAGAAATTTGATTGATTTCCGAAACGGACCACATAATTACAAAATGGTGCGAGTGAATCTTCTTGTAAATTTGGAGTATTTTCAACTTATTTTCAAAATTTCAACTTAGCTTTGTAAATTTTCAGTTTATTATTACAGGTCCGCAAAATTCGATCTTCCCAAAGATTTTTTCCCTTCATTCAAAAAAAAAAAACTTCTGCGCACTCTTCTCAAGAAAAAAACCTCAGATCGTTATTATGTAATGATAGGGAATTGGGAATAATGAGGATCTGATTTCACACCGATATTGGAAGTCGAGATAGAAAACATAATCCGTATGCTTAGCCTCAAAATCACAATAATTCACTATCCGTCAGAGCTCTGAAGCAGCTCGCGCAGATATTCGGTGATCAACACTCTGTCTCAGTGAATTTGTGTCTCTGCGAGTGAAGCATATACTAATCGAATTATTCCTCAACTTTTTTTGCTTTGCTGGTGAGCGAGGACGATATTCAGCGAAGGCAGTAATGAGATTCAAGCCTCCCTTATTTCAAGGCTTTGCAAAAACAGGGAATACAGAATTCATCAGCAATACTACTGAATATCAGAAAATCAAATGACAGAACGTTGGGGAGCTCAATGCGAAAAATTAGATTTTTGTATATGTAGTAGAATATTCTCATCTCCGGACATCTTGCAAACTATGACGACAGATTAGCTCCAAATATGGCAAGATTCCTTCATTCGTAGCAAGCAACACACCATTTTAAGATAGTACGAATTGCAAATATGCATCGATTATCTCGCGTGCTTAGCGTGGCAGAGTAGGCTCTATATTATTGACAGTTCGTATGCATGAACATGAATAAGAATTATACGTAATGTGTTATAAATGTTGTATGAAATCGTAATTTACATACGTTTATGAGATGTCATAGTGAAAAGGAGGGTTAAAATATTTTGACTGGGGGAAATGAGACCGTATAGTCTAAAATCTAGCCAAAAAAATGAAGTGCTGTGTTACAAGCACAGGTAAATTCTTTGAAAGCATCTGTAATCTCTCCACTCGCATCTAATAATGGATAGAGACTCGCAGATTATATTGCGACATAAAAGAGCCATAGGGTCTGCGTTGCCAAGAGATTTTTTTGAACAAGCAAAAAGAACCCCCTTTTTAGCCTCGCTTCAGCGCATGTATGCATGTCTATTTAGAAATTACGAAAATTTTACAATTGACGTGAGCGCTGAAAAAAAATTGATGGTCTCTGCTAGCCCTTGCTTTACCCCAGCACCTCAAACTATGAAGTCGTCGATTATTCTCTTCGCAGAAAGTAGTTATAGCTTGTAAAACATCTATGATTTATAATTTATTTGCCTTTCATATTATTACAATATGCGGCACCCAAACAAACTGGTCCATTCTTTTAACGTGAGTGACCTTACTCTAGCCAATTGCAAGCGCCAAGCTTCTTCTGAAAATCGTCTCTCCATCTCGTTAGGGCCAGTATATCGAGTCGTGTTCTCTTCAGGGCTTCTTGCAGTTCATGTAGTTGGACTTCTTTTGGCAGGCGCCTCACGTTGAATGTTCCGATGTGTAAACAGTCGTTGTTGGGTTGGAACATACTTGATGCTGCTGTTCCGGGGCTTCCTGGATCAAGAGGTTCGACGTCCGGTAGGGTGGGGAAGAGCGCTCAAAATGACCGACAAGTCGAGGGACGTTTAGAAGATGAACTCCCGTAAAACATCTATACGGAAAATTAATGCTTGACAACAAATTTTTCTAGCAAGACGTTTTCTTCATGAAACTGAACTTATGCGTACTAGCCTATTACACCCTTGTTCCGCAACCAGTTCCGCAAAAACTTGACCTGAAGAGCGCATTGTGGAGATTTCCTCGCAAGAACGTATTTCTAGGGTAAGAACGTACCTCGGCCACTTGGAGATTTTAGGCCTGAAATCTCCTTCCACTAAGAAATTTATTGTAATTTGATATGCTTTAGAAAGCGCAAGAAAAGCACTTTCTAATGATACTAACAATCCGCATTATAGATAGATTCTCTTGAAACAACTGCTTCAAACATAAGATTAAAAAAAATCGGACAGAACTTATGCAACAACCTAATACTATCTCGCGAAGCAACAACTACGCCCACAAAATTTTGCAAATCTAATTTGAATTTTCAAAATATCAAAATATTCCAAATATTTAAAATCATAAACAAGTCACTTGCACATTTTTAAAGCCATGTATGAAAATTTCAAGATTTCGCAACTATTGTCGAAGTTTTGAGAAGAGGTTGGACATTATATCGATCCTCAAACATTTTCTCACAGCGAAAAGTAACGGCCGATTTCAGTCGAAGCCCACTTGAAAGGGCAATAAAATTTGACGATCTCAGTATGCGAGAGGAGCCATATGATAAGTGAGCGTGAGGAATGGTCTGAGGTTGAAGCATTCTAGTCAGAACTGCAAAAAAAAACTCGAGAACACTATGAACCATGTAAAAGAAATGTTTTTTATTTTGAAACTGATTTTATACACACTAGCTAAGAACGCAGGCCCCGAGATGGTGTTTTTGTTTTTTGTTTTTAAAGCCTATTTTTGTTCCTCTACTATGAATCACGTTGTAGTAAAAAGGCGCTTATCTGGTTGAGCAGATAGGTAGATTGGGGCAAAAAAAAGCGTGCTGAGAGATGAGCCGGAAATAAAAGTTTCATAATATTCAAAAACTTTTGATAAGGGTGAGCCCCGAAAATCTCAGATTGAGTGTAGAAGTTGTCAATTGTAAGAAAGTTCAAAAATCTGAAAGTGTTCAACAAAAAAATACAATGGATCCCATTTGCTAGAGTTGATAAGAGTTGAAATGCGATTTCTCAACTTGTGATACCATGACGCTAGGCACTCACAAGAAAGGATGATAGTGAACTATGATTTGAAAGATATGAAATTGCTGATCGGAGACATAGTTGACCCATGTCGTATCTTGATGTGTGCCAATGCACACATCCTCCACCTTGCGCGTACTCAACCATCGCTGATTACAGAAGAATCTCTTTTACGATGAGGCTATTTTCGTCTTTTCGATAATTTTCGGTCATTTCTCGCATCAAGAGCTTAGATCCGAAACGCCCAAAGCATCCAGGATTTGTACGAGTAATGTTGAGGAAGGGTATGTGTACTGACACACATTGAGATATGAATTGATTCCACTGCAAATTAGCACATATTCACAGCATTGATAAACAGGATAGAAAATTGAAAAGAATTGGTTCTGAAGTACAAAGCGATTCATGCGCTTTTTTGTACAATATCTGCAAGCAATTGTGCAAAACTTGCCTCGATATGCACTTCATTCAATCCTGGTTCCAAATCGCATTCGACAAGTCGTTTCAGCTCTGCTCTGTCGTTGAACACAACCACACGTTCGAGAGCCTGCTCTCGACATTCTTGCTTTATCACATTGACCGAGTTCTCTTCAGACATTTCCTAATAATAAGAAAAATCAAGCTGATGCGAAAGGACGACTTGTTAATGCGCGAAATCAAGTGTGGTGTGAATAACTGAGTTCTTAACATAATAAGACAAAGAAAAATTTCTGTTGAGAAATGGCGGTTGCTAGGGTGGAAATGGACGGGCGTTGTTGGGCAAGCAGAGCGAGACAGCCGGGTTGAATCGCGCTGGCATTGACGAGCGAAGAAACGGCCAAAGAACGGCACACGGATGAGTCAGCCACTCGTAAACGCACTCTTTTCGAAACGCTGGCTTTCGCAAACGTAAATCTAAAAATAAGAATTATTAAGATTTGCCAAAATTAAGTTACCAACTGTAGGAGCTGCTCAGTAGACGAGAAAATCGAAAATGCGGCAGCATCAATAGCCTCCAGTGTGTGCCTGCATAGTATATGTTTACAAAGATGCCCTTAGTCACGTTCTGCCGATTTTTGTTGCTGATGTTCGTTGAGATGACTCACAGTTCGTTTATTTTTACAGCAGGTATTTGCCACGATTATCGCTAACACAACACAAATATGGAATGTCCTTTTTGAGCGAGAATTATTTCGACATTTCATGAAGTTTTTGAATTTGAATTTCATCTTTCGAGTTCATTTTCCCAAGTCAACCAACGCATAAAGCATCACGCATAAAGCATCATGTATACTTGAAGCAAGAGGCCAATTTAGAGATTCTTAGCTCCCACCACGTGTGACACCATTCAAATTAAAACGCTTGAAATTGTCTTCACGCCGAAAATTTGACTGCGTGATTTGAGCTCAGAACTCACTGTAAGATTCTAATATCAGTAAGTAATAGCCTTCACTGTGATGTATTTTATAGATTATTCATATGGCAACGCTGAGAAAGCTCATTTTTTTAGCGAGCCATACCATGCGAACAAAGGAGATCTGCTGGAGGTTCAAAAAAATATAGCCCTTCAATCAGAAATTTGGGAATTTAATATAAAATGCCTAATTTTCACTAAAATACAATCGATAGAAAAAGATGTATCGAACACGATTCCGGCATCAAATATAGTTTTTTTTAGCATGATTTGAGAAGTGTTCCATAAAATGTGAAAACAATCACAAATTTACTCGATTATGAGTAGCACAAAAACAGTGAAGTCAGATCATTTTAACTACTGGACGTTTTTATAGCTAAACTAACTTGAATAAAATATCAAGGGTTTAGAAAAGAAGATCCATCAGTGCTAAGCAGTGGCATTTTTAAGAAAGGAGAGAGGGCAATTATTGTCGAAATGCTTCGAAAATACAATACCGCTCACATTTTTTGAAAAATAGACGCGAATGTATGGACATGTCCATACATCAGCGTCGCGTGGCCATATCTCGCTTCAGAGTGGACGAATTCTGAATTCAAAGCCACCATTCGATTCAGCTCGGCGCGGAGAATCTTCCGATATAATGGAAGTGGGGATACGATAGGCATACGGTAGAAGGTCACTTTACACTGGTACGCCTGGAACTCTGCATGGAGGGCTTACTCGATGTGCTCATTACAAAAATAATATTAATTTGTTGCACTTGTGGTACACTGTAGAGTTACGGTAAGTGTACGGTGAAAGTCGATTTGCGCATGTATATGTTCGAAAATTTGCTCAGTGGGGCATCAAATGCGCTGATTATAATAAACTGACCCATTCGGCAATAGAGGCGAGTGCGGTAGGTGTATGGCAGTCTGCCAGTTTCAACGAATCTTTCCAAATTTCTGCCTGGGTTGGGTTGCACAGTGCGCTGATACATGCATTGGCATGTTCGCGACAATTGGGAAATTCCAAACGGATCCCACAAAGTAACCTTCCTAGTATACTTACCGTATGTCTGCCTATGTCAGTGTATGTAATCAGCGTACTGTGCAACCCAACCCAGGCAGAAATTTGGAAAGATTCGTTGAAACTGGCAGGCTGCCATACACCTACTGTACTCGCCTCCATTGCCGAATGGGTCAGTTTATTATAATCAGCGCATTTGATGCCCCACTGAGCAAATTTTCGAACATATACACCAACGCCAATCGACTCTCACCGTACACTTACCGTAACTCTGCAGTGTAACACAAGTGCAACAAATAAATATTATTTTTGTAATGAGCACATCGAATAAGCTGCGTAGCAGCCACCCCTAATTTTTTTGTTTTGAATATCTTAAAATTTCTACAACACAATCATTTTGATCATTTGTAATTAGGACGAGTAACCCTCTAAAAAAACCACAAAGACCACCTTCAGAATTTTACAGATTCATTTCATGTATGAAGGGGATGGTGGGGGGATGGTGGAGGGGGGGGGGGGGTGAAGAGGACGGGGGTAAAGGCCATCTCTGCCCCCTTCCACTATCTAATCTGCCACTGTAACATTGGTTTAACATTGCACAATCAGCGGGCATCATTTAGTTTTGAGACAAGTTTCTTTGTCAGTGATTGGAATTTCTATCTCATAGCGGAATGTCGTACGGAGAAACTTCCGGGTTGGTTGTACTAGGAGAGTAAAAAAACGAGCATAAATCATTTTTTTTTCGATAGCGAGGTTGGCGATGCCACATAGGCAAAAGCAACATGAAAGACCAGCAGTTTCAGATATAATTGAAACTTACATCGAACAAATCAATCCAAAACAGTTTTTTCTTACTTGCTTTCTACTTTAGAATTTGGACTAAGGGAAGGCATGTACATTCTCTCATCACGCATACTTATATTCGAGCATGCTTTATCGGGCATAGGAATGAGAATTCGGCAAGAGAATGATTGTTTGAGCAAGGAGAACGACTGAATCTTCAGGGACGAACACAGTTTTTGATGAACTGCTCAAGCACGTTTTATTTACGGTTCGTTACTTTCGATATCGGCGCACTCTATGCCATACAACTAACTCATTCTTGAGGGGCTAAATCAGCCAGCATCATATTTGATAAATCGAAAGTAATGGTGAACCACCGCAATGCCCTTTACTTTCAGTTCCTTCTATGAACTGCAGATTTGACCTGAATTCGACGAAAACCTTCTAATTAATCATTAAATGCAGTGTGTAGAAGCTTTTTGGTTAATTCGAAGCACTTTCTATATCAGAAACTTGTTAGGAAGTCAAAAATGTATTTTCAGATACGTGAATTTTATCGTCAAGGAAATTAGCGCCGTGCGACGGTTTTTCGCGACAAATACGTCGCTAGGTCAAACAAAAGTATTTTCGAAAATTAGACCTAAATTCTAAGCTGGCAGATTCGTAGCAGTCAGTGATGTTTTCAGTTTCTTCAAAACTCTGCTTCAAGAGAAGTTATAGCAATCCGACGGTTTTTTCACGATAAGCAGCGACGGAAAAATTTATGGCAATCCGTCTTTTTCCCAAGAGTTAGGAGCTCAATCGTAAGTGAATAAGAATGACTAAATCAAGCATATTGGGAAATTTTCATGTGAATCACGGTTGCCCATCTGCGTTGCACTAGCACAGTGCAACCGAGTGTTTCTTCTGATTATCACTTGACTTCTACGAGCGCGGCGTCGCGACGCGGCGCCAGGCGCGTCCACCCAATTCGACTTCTCACTGTTGGCAAGTGGCTTACTCATAATACCAAAGCACGACTGCTTGCGTTGCGTAGGCATCCGCTAGCAACACCACCCTAGCAACCATTTATCTTTTCTTCATGACAGATACTCTTTGATTCAACGGGATTGCCGGCTGGAAGGCAGCTTCAAGGCCTAATTTAGGGTGGGGAATGACTGCAGAGCGCGCTCGCGAGAGAGACGCATACTGTGTCGCGGCTCCGAGCGGTCACCTTCCACCCGCCAATCCTGTTGAATCAAAGGTTAGAAGAATTTCCAAGTTCACTCACTTCCGCTTTTGCATCGAGTCGTTTTAAGATCGGCTTTTTTGCATTTATAAGAAAATGTCTGCTCCCGTGGCTCAAAGCACGGTCAACATCATCAAGTGCGAATGTCGAGATCAAGTCCTCAAACGTGTGGTTGTGTTCAACGATCGAGCCGAGGTGAAGCGTCTCGTTGAGTGCAAGCTGGAACCAGGCTTGAATGAAGTGCACATCGAGGCAAGTCTCGCAAGACTGTTTGCAAAATTCATCCATGTAAAAGTGCATAACCTAAAGTGGAAGACATGAACGCTTTCTAATTAACCCCATCATCTTTCTACATAATCGCTTGAGGTACACTTGAAGCTATTTGAGCAGGCTGTGTTTATAGGCGACTACACGCATGCAAAGACTAGACGCCTTTGCGTCCGACTGAGGTAGTCCCTACTTGAAAGAGAGAGCAGACGGCAAAAGGGATAAAACAGCGCTGCATGGTAGAGACGCCGACAGCGTCCGCAGCGGCGCTCTGTCCTGCCTGAAGGTTTGGCCCCATGCCCCAAAATTTGCTGACCGCTTGCAAAAAAGCGCGAGTTTGCGGACTGCCTGCCCCGGCTATTATCTGAGTAGCTATAAAAAAGCATCCCCTTAGAGGAAAGTCAACTTCGCTGGTTTTTCATCAATTCATTTTTTACTGCGCGGTGCCTCCATATTCGTTTTCCGGGTAATGAAGCATAAAACAAGTTTTTTGTCATGGTTCCTGGGAAAAACTGTATCATTGAAGTAATTGATATTATTATATTTATTATTATATCTTATATTATAACAAATTGTTTTTTTATGCACGAAAAAACTGGTTACTTGGCAACAGTTTTTCATCTTTTCGCGTTAAACGAGACAATCACTTTCGATGCGTCCTATCGAGCGTGATTCATAGTACAAATATAGAAAAAACGTGTGCTGCTATCGAAAGTGCTATGGCATCTGTAGCTCACCTAGTTTGAAGGGAAGTAGCAGTGGAAGCAACACAGGAATTTATCATTACCAAAATTCTTTTTATTTTTCATGAATATCTCATGATCGTTGAACTCAAGACTTCAACTATGACTTTAGTTTTCGGTGACTTTGATTGCGCCAATTTCTTGTTCGTTTATGCTAATGTCATATATTTCGGTCAATTTTTAATACTAGAAGCGCCAGTTTGAGTTGATTTTTTTTTTTGAAATAGTGGCGTTGTAGCTATGAGACTAGACTAGCACCTGATGGTGAGGCTAAGGAAACCATTTAGCATGAAAGTTCTGTGGTTCTCGGCTTTCTTTGTCGCGGATTGGGCCCCCAGCTCCCAACGTCAGTGGTATAATTGCTCTCCTGCATCGGCGAGGGGAGCCAGGGGTCCGCACCGTGAATAAGTGAACCATACAATGTGTGGTGGCTACCTGTGAGACGCTCGTTGTGCCTGCCACGTGGGTACTCCTTACGCTCTTAGGGGCCCTTGCCACCAGCCTGCTTAGTAGCGACTCGTCACCTGGGATCGACCTGTGCTTCCAGCCACCGACAGCTGGGGCGTGCACTCATAATCGTGGCACTTAGCTAGCATCGTGCCAGCCTTCCTACAGATGTTACCTACTAGGCAAGATTACGAAATACACCTGAAATGACAACCCGATATTCCGGAGCCACAGCCGAGCCGTGGTCACCGCTCCAACACATATCACACCTGTAAAGTGCCCACCATTTATCCGCAATAAAATCCCTACACTCAAACACACAGGATGAGCAACAACCAGCCAGATGTTACCTAGGGGCCGGCAATAACGGAAACCCCCCGAGGCGGTGTCGCCGGCGTGTGCCAGGTGCGATCGCGCTCGGGGTTACCTCGTAGCGTGGGAGCCAGTCCTCTGTGGCGTAGATGGAAGCACGCGAGAGTTGGGGTAGCGCTGGATCGATCGATAGTTGAGACGAAATGGAAACCCGACCGCTCACTGTGACGGCAGCTGCGAAGACTGACTACGTGACTTATTTGAACGCTGCGAAGGTAAGAGAGGTGAGAGGCGGGACAGCGCGAGGACGGCGTTTTGGGACCCTTTGCGAGGCGGAGGGCGGCGACCTTTGAAGGAAGTCGCGAATCCGCGACACTCCGGGCAACAGAAAAGAAAGGGTCCGAGGTAGCTCCCGATCTGCCATGTTACCTACGACCCTACGAGTTAAACATACATACAACCTACGAGTCAAGTATCCCTAGGTGGAACGCGGGACCCTACTACCTGTCGTGGTAACAGCCGGTTGTTCTCGGAGGTAAGCATGAAGAGTCGTCGGGGGCTCTACTCTGGATACTGGCGGGCTTCTTCGGCAGTTGTGGAGACGATGGTTGCGTTGAACGGCAGTTGAGGTGACCATTGACATGACCATTGACTCGACAGTTGCGGCATCGACAGCTTGAACGGACCATGGAACTCGGCTTGACGGGGATGTTCGGCTTGACGTGACAGCGGCTCGACATTGGTGACGTTGAAGTGACGATGAGTGGCAAAAGGTGTTAAATTTGCCTACTGGCGCGGTTTTTCACGTCTGGGGGTGAATTCAAAGCGAGGGGGAGATTTTACCTCGCGGCACAAGACCCCTGGGGCAAGACACGTGCGAAAGGGGGCATCCCAAAAACTCCAAAAATAACACGGTCTCCCACCGTGGCCCCCAAAAATCGACAGTTGGGAAATAGGCACTTGAGATACACGTCAGCTGCGGGCTAACCTAAAATAGGGTCAGCAACAAACTGGGCGAGCTTAAGGCCCGCCGAAAACCACAAAATCAAAGAAAAAGGAAAAGAAAATAAAAGGATACGAATAAAATAGCTAAACTAAATTAAACGTACCCAAAAATCGTCAGTTGGGGCTATCGACAAGTGGGAAACACGTCCATTGGGGTCTTCTCCATTCGTCACCCAAAAACTCGGTAGTTGGGGCTATCGCAACAGTGAACTCGCAACTTGGGGGATCCTCATTCTCAATCTAAACAAATAACATTAATAAAGAAACGAAAGTTGAGGGGGCGAGCGCGAAGCTTCACCACAAACTCGCAAGTTGGGGAAACGTAACCTGGGGCTACTACTCATGAGGCGAAGCATCTCTTCTTGGGGGCTGACGATCGTGGGGCGAGGCGTCTCTCCTCTGATCTCTCCTGGCTCTCTGTCGCCTGCGCATGTCAGCTATGGCCTTGTACTGCTCAAGGGTAGTGAGGTATTCGTCATATGGGATATTGCAGGTACAGTGGTGCTGTTTAAAGCAGAATGAGGTGTCGTGGTCCTTAGAACGGCACGACCGGCATCTCCTGCCATAGCGAGGGCAGTCTTCCTCGGCATGGATGCCACAGCACAAGAAACATCCGCCCCTCCTCGCATTCAGATCCATCCTCTCACTCAAAAGAGTGTAGTTGGGGCAACTGGAGGAGTAATGGCGCTGCTTGCAGAAGTAGCAGCGGATGTTCTCGGGCGGTGTATCCGGCCTCCTCTGCTCCCGCTCTCTCTCCTCCATCGGCTCGTCCCTCTGACGCTCACCTAAAATGGGGTTTGGGGCCCCATCCTGGGGGGCGGGCGACACGTGGGGCGGTGTTGCGGCCGATGTGGAGCTCACTTCGTGTTCCCAACGAGACCTTTTGGGGGCTCTAGATGAGCGGGATCGGCGTCGATCAGTCGACGACGATGGCAACTCGGCGATGCCAGCAAGGACTTTTTCCTGGATGTCGTCCTGTTGCCGCTGTCGTGTGCGAGAGCGTGAATGCGGGCGCTTCGATGGGGTGCTCTGACGAGCTGTGGCTATCGCAGACTGTGGGCGCGATTCTTGGGGATGCGCTTCGAACCTGCGCATGATGATAACATGGTATTGGTGACGGATTCTCTCCATCTCCGCAACCATTGTGGCGGACGTGAGGTTGATCTGGGTCAACCCGTCCGGTGTGACTCCGTAGTGGGCTAACAGAGCGAGCCTCTGCTGAAGCTCGTCCGGGTGGAGGCGGAGAAGCTCTGTTAGACGGACGTTGACCGCATGGCGACGATAATTGATGTTGTATGTGAGTGTGTAGATGCGGTCGATCCTCTCTAGGAGTCCCTGGGTGTCTGGCAACGGCAGTTGGGATGTGGAAGTTATAAACTTTGTGGCTTCCGTAACAGCGTTGTCGAGTGCTTTCAACTCGTACGTGACCAGTAGGGGCATCAGGTGCTCGGTCTTGGCTCCGCTGAAATCCTCCTCGTCTGGCGAAAAGATCTCTTTCGTGAAGAGACTGCGGAAGCGTTGCCCGATCTTGCTGTGGAGGTATCCATCGATGAGCACGTAATCCTGTTGTCCCAGATGGGCTGGGTCAAAGATGTGCCTAAAGTTAAAAGCTGTGGTGAGCTGCTGGAGCAGACTCAGTGCGGGTCGGTAAGACTGGGGGACAGCGTGAGCCTGGGTATCGCTGTCAGCTTCACGTAGCAGTCGACGATTGGGATTATGCCCTTTGGCGATCGCGGTGATGAGTTCGATCATCGTCGGCTTGCGAGTGTTGGGGTCTTCTCCCGGCGGACTCAGATGGGATACGTCCACCTGGGGTGCGACCTCTGGGGCGGGCGTTGGTTCCGGAGCTTTCGCGGACGAAAGCTCACGGATGACCGCGGCCACAAGTGCGGCGCCGCTAGGATCGTCGGCGGTCTTCGTATCGCGATCCTTGGGGGGAGTCGGCTGTCTCCTGGGCGGCGTCCGCTCTCGCTCCGAGGAGCTCGTCCTCGAATATGATCGAGGACGTCTGCGAAACTGGTAGGCACTGTCCTTTGCGGGGACAGGCACTCCGCGTCTCGACTTCTCTTTGATCGCCATAGTACGCTTGTAGCTGGTCGGGCTACGATCGCTATTACCTGAAAAGAGAAGTATGAGAATGGGGGTACAACGTACTGTGAGTGTATACACACATGGAGTGTCACATGAGTGAAGAAGGAATGAGAGAAGGAAGATGGGAAGAAAAAATGGGAAGAAAAGGAATTGGGAGAGAAACGTGAGGCCCCCATGATCCATGAGGCGTGATAAAATGAAGTGTAAAATAAGTGAGGTCAATTGGTCAGGTCGCGCATGAGTTCTAACATGTAGAATGCAGTATAACATGTCAAACATGCATAATGGGAGAATGATGTGAGAAAACGTGTGAGAGAGTGAGTGTGAAAGGTGTGTGAGTGAGGGAGAATGTGTGAGAGAGATAAATGTGAGTAAAGAGGAGTGTGA